CCAGAAACTTTGTAGCTTAACATGATACACCAAACCACAGAATTGGCTGCCATGCCACAGCTTCCAAAATGACAGAGACTGAAATCGACACGTGGTGACGAAGGATATACGGCTTTATACATCATGGAAACTTCAAAAAGAGTGGAACGAGCATTTGTACTTATTCCATTTACATTGTCGGATCTTATTAGCGAGCAAATGTCAAGCTGCTGTTACAAATACATAAAATTAACCTCAATAACAAAGTATGGCATGTGAAGGGGAACCACATCCGGCCATTTTATCAAAGAGTTTTGCCCATTTTTAGTTTTTTAGTAAGAAACGATAAAACAGGGCAAATAACAACTAAAGTATGCAATAATGATGCTAAGTGACTCAAGTTTTCCCACAAAATAGTAAGTAATGAACTAGTTTTAGACAAACGTTAGGCCTATTGATCACTATGGGAATTACTAGGACTAAGTAGCTAACACAAACAATAGAAAATAAAAATACAAAAACGGTTAAATTAAAATAATTTCTTCTGTTTTGTTTATTTATCCAGTTGTATTCCTTCATTACCACCCACAGCTGGGGTACTTTTGTTCTTGAAAATAACAACTGTTTGTTCCAACGTAAAATGTTATGAACAAATGCAACCACAACATGCAGTCTTCATCAAAACATTGTATATTTTTACTTCAGGCTGAATTATGATTGGCTGAGTAAGGGTGGTCCTCTTTTTTCACTTTTCTGTCCGAAAAAGAAGATCTAAAAATGTGACCAAAATAGATGGTTGTGAGGGTTAGAGATTGAACCAAACGCTCAAGATATTGTTCACAAAACTGTTTAAGTCTTTTTCAGTGAGCACTTATTCTTTGCTGAGACAATCCATCCCACCTCACGGGTGTGGCTTATCAAGATGCTGATAAAAAGTTAATGGATAATGGTAGAAACAGCAATTTGACGATCCAGAGCATCCCAAACTGGCTCATTGGGCGACATGTCTGTGTGAAAGTGGTCTTTCAAGATGTTTTCAGCTGCAGTGTGCACAGATCTCTGCAACATGGATTCAAAAGAACAATCCATGTAACCATAACCTCACCCCCTTAGGCCACATCAGTAAATTGCTCACTTACACAATGCCACACACTCTGTCTGTCATCTCCCTCGACAGTGACAACCAGGATTCATTCACAAAGAGAACACGTCACCTGAAAACCTCTCGGTTCTCGCCTGACCATTGTGCAGGTTTGGGACGATCCAGATTTTAAAACAGCGTGTTCCTTTTCCTGCCAGTATCCATCAACTTTGCACAGTCACAACTGAAACCCAGATAACGCCCTGTCCGATTTAAATCAAATGATCAAGATGCATGTAAACCTGTGCGCTGTGATTGAGGAATGAAAATCCAGTTTGTTTGGCGTAAATGGATTGATTCACATTCAGATTATTTGCCATTTGTAGTAGAACCACATTGGAATGCCTGTGCAAGAATACCCCAGTGTGCACCAGCATACTATTTACTAAGGCAAATATACAAGTGGCCTTTGAGAGGGTCACAAAGCTCCAGATTCTCAACAGGGCTCACGTGACAGGACCTCAAAGTGGTCAAACAGTAATCTGTTTTTTATGGCACACCTGTGTGGTGGAATGGATTGTCTAAGGCCTAAGCAAAGAATAAGTGCTCACTAAAACAGATTTAGATGGATTTCCAAAGAATCAGTTAGAGATGGGTTTATGGGTCTAAAATGAGAGTGGAAAACAAAAGCATTGCATTTATATTTTGTTGTGTAGATAGATTATATTACAGAGTCATTTTTTTGTAATTTCAAAGTTACATCTCACAACAACCGTAATATATTAGACAATTTCAATAGTTACGGAGTTAGGCTTTGAGAGACCACATGGCTAGTGCCTTAATGCCACAACTACCATTCCATACAATAAAGTAAGTTGTGTTTTTATGGCATTGAATTGGCAAACTTTTTTTTTTGCATTCTAAGCAAGTGGTCACCAGGGTATACCACTAATACCAACATAATTACTTATTATTGTGCTAGCCAGTCGACCATAATCCGTTTTATACAAGTTGAAGTAGTAAAAATGAGATTAGACTCTCAACTCTACAATAAATTCCACTGGAAATGTATGAGTTTGCTGGAACTACTGCTTCAGGATCAAGTGATCAGATACAGTAGATTTGTTGTTTTGGCATCAGGGTGGTCCCAACGGTCATAAAATAGAATGAGTTTCCTGAGGTAGTTTTGGAAAATGCATGGCTCTGTCAGACGAGACTCCGCTGTAATTTTCACTGGGCATTTCGACTTGGCTTGTGCTCTTCTGTCACCGTAGAATAATTAAAACAAGCTTCTTTCTACACACTACATCTTTTTATTGAAAGTGAAATGCAGGGAAACATCTGCGGGTCTAAAATGGAAAGAATACTGATAATTCTTTCACGCTTTTTCTGCTAATTCCAAGCGTGACAGGCCTTTAGCAGCTCCTCGAATCTTGGCGAAAATTCAGCAAAAGTTTAAAAGGTTTCAGTTTATTCAGGAAAGCCTAAACCATTACGTCTTATGGATTCATGCAGATTAATCCTGTGACTGAAGAGTGTCAAACCTGTTGCATTTAAGGCTTAGATTGAAGCTTCAAGAAGACACTATCATGGAACACACTTGAATCTGTGCCCATTGCTAACAGTGGAAAGCTTGACTCAACATATCGGCCTGTTGTGCATTCAAATAACTTCAACATCTATAAAGTAAGGGACAGTACTAGTTTTGTTCCCCTGTATGCAACGTCCCAGTAGAATTGTCCTAAATCCCCAATTCGTCCCATGTTAAAATGATAAAATGTTGACCATCCCTATGTTTTAGTACAGAATAGAAATTATTATTTATGCCACGCCAGTATGAGACGTGTCAAAACGGCTCCCTTGTTTGAGTGTTGTAAGTCTTAAGACCCACTTTTACTCTCTCTCTATATTTTAACACGGTGTGAGTTGTGTGGTCCTTATGTCATTTCGAATTATAATTTTTTTCTAAATATATAGGTTTTTTTTCGACCTGTTTCTTGTCGTGAAGTCATAATGCCAGATTTATGTATATTTTCTCACCTGCCGACTTCAAATGTGCCATATACATAAAGTAGATGTGGATTTTGGATCTTTTCACATTTCAATTCAATATATGAATAATGAGGGATGCACAGATCCTCAGACCGTCGATATCCGTTATGAACCAGAACAAGTGAAGGAAGTTAAAAAATCCAATTTGTTTTAATCTGTTTAATAGTTATTCAGTCTACTAAAGAACCACATTAGGTGCTAGGCGACAATAGGTGGCAGGTTCTGGTCCGGGCCATTGTGATGAAGTTAGCTTGTTTCTCCTCGTGTCTGGGTGGGTTTCCTCCAGGCACTCCTGTTTCTCCCATCACCCAAAAGCATGCACTACAATTAAAACCCTCCAGCAAATGTAGTCCTGACCAAACCGAGCATGAATGACCGGACATGGATCAGGTCACCCTCATGCCAACCTGGGTGAATCTATCTAGACTATTGCATAATCAGTACGTTATTACAAACCCCAATCCAGATGTGTCCCAGTTTTTTAGTTTTTTGTGTGTGAAATTGGTCCCCCTAACTTAGATACTGGCTGAAATGATATAGTCGCTCCTATAACAGTTTTATTTTAGTGTCTACTCTTCATGTTAATCTGTCATTGACCTATCCCACAATCACACAGCAGCACGCCTCCAAATGAATGTTAACATGTTTGTGTTGGAAAAACAGGAGTATGACGGCCACCTGGCACAAGTTGAATTGAACGCAAGCCTCACAAAAAATTTGCCCCATCTGAGCAAGCAGAAGCAAGTACAAACATTTGAAATATGACATATTACACTATAAGGCCTTGCTTTCCCCAAGAACGATTAGCTGCAAGTTTACCAGAATGTAAAACGAGAGAAAGTGGCATGAAAAGCGGTTATGAAAGTTGAAAAGCTGAGTTGACTTTAGGCTTAACCTCTACGCGGCCTCCCTGTGGCTCTGCTCAATTCTGTATAATCTTCACATATGATATGGGCTTAGGCAGAGGGATCATCACCTACTGTGCGCACTATCTACTTACTTCCATTTTTGCATATTCAAGGACAAATTACCATTCAACAAAAAAGAAAATCCTATACCAGCGGTTCTCAAATGATTCACTTCCTATGGGGCAAACTTGACACCCCCAGGCAGGTCCAAAGCACTATCTAACTTCAGTTATAAATTAGGAATAAACTGTTTTAACTAATTGAAATGTACTATTCAATTCTTACCATTTCTAATAATCACAGAAGAAGGAGAGATGTATGGGTGCATTTGTGTGAGAATTGAGACCTATCAAAGTAAGATCTGTGCTCCTTGTCTAATACATTTCTTGCTTGGCGAATGTGCGAACGGTTAGAATTTCTTGGGATTTCTCAATATCAATATACACAATGCAAAAAGAGAAAAAGAAGCAGTAGTAGAATGAGAGTTCGACATATCGAAGAACTGGCAAACTGTCTAAACCCTGTGCCCAAGTGAAAAAACCCAGGCAGCACTTAAGAGAGCAATTACCCATGATAATGAGCTGTACCGCCATGTTGGAGAAATGACAGACAGTAAGGAAAAAGTCTCCACTCTGAGAAAACAAACTTTGACTCTGCGAAAAACGAGAGTGATAATTTCTTTTCGTGGTCGCCCTAAAACGTCTATGTCACAATCCCTTTCTGCAAACATTTCGTGACAGGCTGGCTCTTGACTTCCAGGAACATAGACTTGTTGAAAGAACTAATCCAGCATCGGTCTCTTTCTTTCTTTTTTGTTTGGTTGACAACTTCTCCCAGTGATGTGCTCCACATACACTGAGCGAAGCAGCATCCTCCCTTCATCACTGCCACCTCGCTCACAAACAAACTAACTGTCTAACGCCTTTGCCTCCATAAGCTGTCTTGGCTTAAACTAACAAAAGAAGATGCGGTGCCCTTACCGTTCGGCCGGCTAATCCAGACTTAGCTGCGTGGTGTCGACGTTTAGCTGACCTCCACGGGCGACAAGTGCTGCTCTCGTAAGTCCACCATCTCCATGCTCAGGCGCTCCAACCATCACACAACTAAACTTAAGATGCAACTTAATCAACTCCAAATGGAAAAAAAGAAAAAGAAAGGAAGAGTCTAACGTTGTTTCGGCATTTCTCCAGAAGTTGCACGCGCTATAATCTGCATTGCGCTTTAGGGTGTACCTCAAGCCTGCGTTTTATATCCATTGATGTTTGCAACAACAAAAAGACATGAAAGTGGCTAAACTTCTTCTTATCATCCAATTTGCAATCTCCACAAAAAAAAAGTCCAGACTTGCACCTGTTTTGCTCAGGTTCTGTGGGTGTTTAGCTCCACTTCCCAGCTCTTATAGTGGTGTAGCTTGATGCCTGATGGTTTTAGGGTGAGGAGGGAGAGCGTGTTTAGTGGACTGCCCTCTCTCTCTCTCTCTCTCTCCCTCTCTCTGTGATGCCTGTGTCTGCTCCCCCGTTCAACTGTTGCTCCTCCTCCGTAGTGGTGCTTGTGGGCCGAGTCGGATTACTCCTGACATGATAATCTCTCAGGCTCGAGCTCCAGGAGCACTAAAGGATGCTTTGGCCACAGCAAAAGGGCTTACACATTTTACCTTCTGCCACCGGTGGGTCTGCCATCTTGAGCAGGGCCTGTGCGTTTGTAATAACCCCAATATTATAAACACTGTAAACACTGTAAAACTAAACACAGATTACATGGTAGTCAATTCAATCCATTTCTATTTATTACAGACTCTAGGTCCAATTTAAAACATACAAACAGACAAGACCAAAGTTAACAAACAAACTGTATTGACATTACAGTCAGATCAGCGTCTCCTGATCTTGGATTGAAATCTAGTGGCCATGAACCTCATTTAATTTTCTGACTTGTTTGGTCAATTAAATTGTACATTGTGGCCATACCTGCACGCGAAAGCCAGATCCCGTCAGATCTCGGAAGCTTTGCAGGGAAGGGCCTGGTTAGCAGAGTGATGGGAGACCTCTGGGAACACCACGTGCCATAGTGGGGCGGCTGCGGCTGTAAAGTGCCAAACTGTTGTTGTGTCTTTAGGCAAGACACTTCACCCACATTTCCTAGAATGAGTCTGGTCTGTGTGTGTGTGAATGGTTGGTGGTGGTCGGAGGGGCCGATGGCGTATACTGGTTGCCTCGCTTCTGTCAGTATGCTCCAGGGCAGCTGTGGCTACAGTGGTAGTTTATCACCACGGTATATGGAGTGAAAAAATAATGACTTGTGAAGCGTCTTGAGTGTCTTGAAAAGCGCTTTATAAACCAATGCACTATTATTATAATTATCGTTACATTAGGCCGGTAAGTGACAGCTCAGACGCACTGGTCCACTGTGGCTTTCTCATGAGCACAACATACCACGAAGTAGTGTTTGAGGTTTGTTTTATTTTGTTGGAACTGTGCAGCAATGTACTCAAAAAAAACAAAAAAAAAATACATATTTTTCCAGGATCCAAATTTGCAGTAATAATAATAAGCAAACAGGCTGTCAAATCAGTTGCTCTTCTCAAAATAACCAGACAGTCAACTGGTAAATTCTGGTAAAACGTTGCCTGTGGAATAAATTATTAACTTCAATATTTTTTTAGTTATACAAAGATAAGAGCAAAATTAGTGATATATGTAGCGCTGGGTCTGTGGTGCCTTTACAACTAAAGAATTTTATCTTTTTAACACACCTTGTTATTTATTGTTGTAACTTTTTGTGTTTTTAACTATTTTATTGTTTTTAATTACTTGTGTGATTCTTATGTTTTTAAATTACTTATGTGATTTTAATGCTTTTTAATTACATATGTGTTTTTAATTGTATTTTAATGGTGATGATTTGTGCATTGTGTGGTGTGGACTGTGAGGCGCTTTGTGTTGCCCTGTGCAGGAAAAGCGCCCTATAAATAAAGATTGATTGATTGATTGATAGATGTTATGTATGAATCATGGAATATTTCTCAAACAAGAATCCAACTTCGTATTTCTCCAGACTCCCAGGTTGTAAATCAAGACAAAAAACTATTTATACAGCACGTGTCATCTTGGACAGGTCATGAAACTTGATCAACTTTGAACTAACTAATGTATAACAATAAACAACAAATAATGTATAATTAAACAACGCGCGGTCACGGCAGATACCGCCGGAACGTGTACCAACAAAACCGAAGGAAGAATGCCCGAAGGAAACATGCCCGAAGAAGCGGAGACGACGTCAGTCGGGTCGCTGGGGGCAGGAGGAGAACGGCGACAGTGCTGTGGGTGGAGATGCCTTGGACGTGAGGAATACAGGTACTGCTGATCATCCAAATTCCCCTATATGGAGCTTGGTTGTGAAACATCGCAGGCAGCGGGATGACGCTAATCCTGGCCAGATAAAGCAGCGCATTCCTTTGCGCAAAAGAGCTAAGCCAATCTATGGCACCGGTGCGCAAAGTAATATAAAAGCAGTGCGCACAAAGCTCGTTAATGTCTTTGCCTCAAAGTTTCTTCCTGATCTTGATACTGGGACACTTGGCGATTATCTCAGAGAGAAACTTGGTCGTGATGTGCAGTGCGAACGCATTGTCACTGGGAATACGAGGTGCAGCTCCTTCAAAGTCAGCGTGGAGTGTGAGGATGTGTCCGAGGTGTACAACCCTGAACTCTGGCCAGAAGGATGTCTTGTGCGGCGGTATTATGAGCCGAGAAAGATGGCCCGTAAAGGATCTGCAGTGTCTTTATTGACACATGATGTAACGAGGCCCGCTGGAGCAGATGCCGTTCCTACTCAATAATTCATGCGCGTAATTTCCTACAACTGTCGGGGGCTTCGCGTTGGAAACACTGCAGCTGACAAAGCCCGACGCTTAACTGTGGACAAACTTCTGTGTGAGAGCGATATTCTATGCCTCCAGGAAACCTTCCTGCCTATTCAGGAATTGGGAAACCTTAACTCTATTAATGATCATTTCCATGGAGCCGGGGAGTCCACGGTAGATTTATCTTTGGGAGTAGTGAGAGGACGCATTCCAGGAGGCGTGGCTATTTTATGGCATAAAAAGCTGGATCCATTGATAAATGTAATAAGGACAGGAGTTGATTGGTGCATCGCTTTACACTTAAAGTTGGAAAAGAGAAACATTGTTATTTTTAACGTTTATACTCCCTATGAGAGCTCACAGAATGAAGATGAGTATCTGAATAGACTTGGTTTTATCAGTTCGTTCATCAGTGAATATGAGTCCACATCTTTTTTTGTTCTCACTGCATAAGAACAACAGACAACCAATTTGGATTTAAATCCAAGTTGGGGACAGATCTATGCATTTTTAGTCTTAAGGAGACTGCACAGTCATATTTAAGACAAAACTCTTCTGTGTTATTAGGGTTCATTGACGCATCCAAGGCATTTGATTGCGTGAACCACGGTAGGCTTTTTGGAAAACTCAAAGAGAGGAATGTGCCTGATAGCATAATAAGAATATTGACCTCCTGGTATTCTAATCGGCAGATGCAGGTGAAGTGGGGTAATACCATCTCAGCTGCCTTTGGCGTCAGTAACGGAGTGCGTCAGGACGGGCTGTTGCTCCTATTTAACCTGTACATGGATGACCTGTCCCAGTGTTTGAATGGCTGTAGAACTGGTTGCATGATCGGTGACACACTGGTCAACTATTTCATGTACGCCAATGATTTGGCCATTCTTTCCCCGAGTAGTGCTGGCTTTCAGCAGCTTTTGAATGTATGCTCTGATTATGGGGTCAAGCATGATATTCAATATAATGCCAAAAAGAGCGCTGTACTAATCAGCCGCACCAAAGGGGACAAACATCTTTGTTTTCCAGACTTTTACTTATCTGGTCAAAAGCTGGGTGTTTGCAGCAAAATTAAATACTTGGGTCACATCATAACTGACCGACTCTGTGATGATGATGACATTAATCGCCAGTGTCGTAAACTGTACGCTCAAGCCAACACCTTAGTGCGGAAATTTCACATGTGCACAGTCGATGTTAAAATTAAACTGTTTAAAATGTACTGTTCACCTCTGTATACAGCTCCACTGTGGAGCAGATATAAGAAGGCTGCACTACAGAAGCTCAAAGTTCCATATAATGATGCTTTCAGGATTCTGCTGAAAAAGCCCAGGTCCAGTAGTGCTAGTCTGCTGTTCTGTCAGAGTCGTGTGAACTCTTTCCATGCTCTCATGCGAAATATGATGTACAGGTTTATATGCCGTCTGAATGTCAGTGAGAACTATTTTGTGCGGTCTCTGGTGAACCCCAGTATGAGTTCTGTGCGCTACCAGTCAGCTCTGTGGAAGCTCTGGTACAGTTTTCTTTTATAACTGTTTGTCTGTTGTGTTTGTGATGTGTTTGTTTGTTTTTTATGGACTTCGAGTCTGATAAATAAAGATAATAATAATAATAATAATAATAATAATAATAATAATAAAAGCAGGGAACAGTTCTGCAAATCAGTCTCTGGCTAGATGGCCTATGGGCATGGCATCGGTTATAATGTAACTGTAATATAATGTTCTTAGTTCTGTCCCTTCCAAATAAACTAATACATAAATAAATTAGCAAATGTTGTGAAATTATTGTACATAGTAATGATAATATTAATGGAATGATACAAATAACCAAAGAAAAACTATTTCCCAGTGTTTTTTTGTTTTTTTTTTTGTCAATACAGATGCAGAGGGTGATTTTAATGTATAGACATTTATTATCATTTATGGACATTAGGCTCCCGAGACGACTGCCGTTGTGATTTGAGGCTATACATTGAAATTGAATAGAACATTGAAATTGAATAGAATTGACCATAACTTTGCATGTGAATGTATTAAATGTCGTGCATCGTAAGACTCTCCAGAGGCAACCAGAAACCCGATCTGGACCTGACACAGAAAAGACTTGCAAGACTTAATCTACATTCTAATTATAATTAACGTGAAAATGTACTGCATTTTTTTTTACCTTAAATTTCAAAACCACTATTGCACAAGTCCTATTTCTGCCAACCTAAGCAGAACCCACACTTATAACAGTCTTAATTGCGGGGAAATTAAGTGCTTGTGTAAATAGGGTCTGCCCAAGCCTTTTCCAATCTTTTAGCGAGGAATTAGGAAAGTGCACAATTGGTTTAAATCACGGTAAAGCAGCCTTAAGCCCAGATAAATGGCATTATCACAGCGAAGGCTATTTATCAAGGGTTCAATTGGCGTTCTGGCTGAGGATAAAACAGGGGGAGACCACGGTGTTTTTGTTGACTATCTCATGTTCAAACGTCCTGTCCAATATTAACCCCAGCATTTGAGTCCCCGAAAGCTGTAAACGAGGAGCAGATGGCCGCGCTTTTGGAAGGTATCAGGCGCTCCAGACTGCAATCTAAATAAACACAACATCTACGGAGGAAATGCGTCAGGTGTGCAGGGTCAGCCATTGGGTAAACACTGGGAAGGAGTGAAGCAATGGTGGGGCAGACGGAGCGCCATCGCAGGTGCTTGTTCACAGGCCAAAAAAACACACTTGGAATAAGAGATACAATGGCTGACACACAAGTCCAAGACAAACAGATGGCAGGAACAAGAGTAAGCGTAGTAAATAACAAAAGTTAGCTCCGCA